TTCATTTATTTATTTATTTATTTACTTACTTACTTACTTACTTATTTACTTATGCTTCATGATAACAAATGAACCTTTTGGTGGGTTGTTAATTGAACTTTATATTTTTAACAGAGTATTTTATATAGAGAGATAATTTTGTTAAACAACTTTTATGATTTAATTTGAAAATTTGACAGGAAAGTAAATATTTAAAATTGACCAATCTCAACTTCTATTTATATCATCCTTTTTTTTAGAAATAACAAAACCTTCATTAACTCTGGAATATGTATTTTTTGATCTATTATTAATTATTGGGTACAGAAACAAATGGTTATACATCTACAGAGAATGAGGGATTAATCTTTTAAAAGGTATACTCTACCTCTATACAACTATTAAGAATAGATTTTTATAATAATGACATTCAATAAGTAAAATATCCTGGATTAAAAAATTCGATCTATATAGTGACTCAGGCAGGAGATTGTGATAATTTTTTTTAGAGAGCTCTTCAGTTATTAGAGTTAAAACAAAGATGGTTTTCAGATTGGTCTTCAACTAACTAGAAGCATTCTGGTTAATCAAGGTACCATAACTGCTTACTGTCTTTTCTTGTGAGAGTAAAGCTAAGGGACCAACAGAAGCCTGCTTGAAGACTTAACAACATACACCGTCTTGGATACTTTCAACTTTAACTTCAGAGATGTCTGCTGCGGGAATTGACTTAGCTGGGTAGTGGGGAACCCTTCCATGAGGAGACGAACACTCCTTATGCAAGATTCCCTTCTACCTGACTGGGTTGGAGTCATATCCTGTGCAGCACAGGTTCTTACCAAGAAGAGGAAGATGAAAGCTTGGAGGATACTGTCCACAATTTTTATTTTTCTATGCCTGTGGTCTCTATTTTAGCATAGATAATCAAGAAATGCCTATGCATGTTACTGTTAAATTAAATGAAAAGTGTATGTGTATTGTAGGATGTCTATTTAAACTGTTCTGTTATAGAAAACTAAAGGAGCAATGTAAGCTAAAATATCCTTGGATTTTGTATGTTAAAATCAATTTAGACTATATTCTCTGGTTCGTTAGAAGGATACATTAAAAGGTAAATCAGAAAAATCGAATCTGGTGGGCAGTGAGGGGATGTTCATCATTATTTTCTTTTAGTTCTTTTTCTAAATATGAATGATAGCTTTCTTGGTCCTTTTTGTGTTTTATATTGGTTTTATTAGGTTCTTGAAATTGTGCCTTCTCCTTTGTGAACACTTCTTATTCTTTTGTAACCAGTGCTCTGTGTTAGCACCATATTTCATTGATTCGTACACATTTTTTCACATTTTAACATCTGTGAAATTGGAGTGCATTTAGTAATTGATGACGGCAGTCGTTATACAGTTGGTATTGCCTACACATTTGTGAACTTGGCCATGATTTTCTAAATGAATCTGAAAGAGCTTTTTCATTAATATAAAATCATAATTCTAAATTATAAGACACATTGTATAACATAGAGTAATTGGCAGCCTTTTTTTCTTTTTTGTGGTTTGTAAAATAATGATCCATCTTGTAGTTGATGGCCAGTTGCATTCAATGAAATATGTTATATTTTGTAAACAGGAACTAAAACTGTTCGCTCATCTTCAATTCTTGTTACTATCCCTTTAGGAGTTGAGACAATTAATTTATTCGCCTAAATTTAATATTCATGTAAATAAATACTTGTATTGCAAAACTGAGACCATCAAGCATTGAGGCATTGAGGTGTTTGTTTTCAATATGTGAAATACAAAAATAAATGAAGGAGTGGGTGCTTTGTTTTTATCTAAGCTTTTCTGGAGACTTTGCAAGACTGATAGGTATTCACAGCTCTATCATACATTGGTACCAACACAGGATCAATAGTTGTGGCAGTTGCAAAGTATTTCCCAACTCAGACATAGAATGGCTGTCATTGTTGCTAGCCTAGGTTCTAAGACAGTAGTGCTGGGTAGTGTTGAAGAGCTACGAGAATGAGGTTGAGGTGGTAGGAGGTAATGATATTTATGTGTTTATGTAATCAACACTCCTATAAGAGTCTGAAATTTAATTTTGATCTTTTGGACTAAAGCAGGAGATGGGAAAATTTTAGAGATTTATGAGATCGAAAGCTCATTAAAGACCTAAAACCAATGAAAAATAATAAAAAAATTAAATCATAGAGCCTAGAGGAGGGAGAATGGTCATGGTCAGGAGATATCTATTGGTTCAGATCTGTATGGGCCATAGTCATAAAGATGGGGGTACATTTTCTCCATCTTCATTAAGGGCATGATGAAGCATGTTGGAATTCATTTGGATGAAAGATGATATTAAATGCTATGGAGTTTCTCATTTGTCTTATGGTTTCATGGATTAAACAATCTCATTATCTTCTAATACTGACAGCAATTCGAACTGAAAATCCTGTAATTTTCTTGATATCTATGAACTATAGTTTGCTTATTGGGATAAAAATAGGGATAAAAATGCTTACTTTGAGAGTCATTTTGAAAATAAAAAATTATGTGTGTAGAGTGACTAATTCAGTGCTGTACGTAGCATACAGTCAATGAGTTGGAATTTTATTGCCAATTGACTGCCATATTCATACTCATGTCAACTAGTATTGATATTAGTTACTTTTAAATGCACTATTGGAGAGAAATTTTAAGAGAAAGTATCATTAATTTTTTTTTTTTTTTTTAGGCTGTGGGTCATCTTATTGCTGCAGTTCTAAAGGAAAGTGGTTTTTCAGGAAAGATCCATCAATCCACAAACCAGGTCTGTTTAGCTTTGTGCTTTAATTCTATTTAGATATTGCTACCAGCTGGACCACATATACACTTCTTTTGTTTTCTTATAGTCCAGGTCACTGTAGAAATGATTTTGAACTGTGAGAAGTTCATTGCCTGTTTTTTTTTCCGTTTGCCATATTTTTCTTCCCAATTCTTTTAAATTAAAAAATTTGTGACAACAGACTCTAAGAATAAGCTATGAAAGGGGTGAGGGGAGTATTCTTAATGATTATTAATGAAAAATAACATGGGCGGAAGAGAGTAGGCATACTTTAGAGAAGGTTCACAGGGTTACCTCAGAGGGAATATTTTTGTCTAATAGGGAAAGTGAACATAGTGGCTCTGTTTGGATATAGGAGATTTCTCATGCTTTTAATAGCCCATATGTGAGCTCTAAGTTGGAAAGGAGATGCATTGACAGTCGGAGCTGGAAGAAAAATGCATAGGGCAGGTAAATGCTAAGAGGTGAAACAATGCCAGCTTATTGAGATATATACCACTTGGGTTTTGGTTGACCAGTGCTGTCATGGTGGTACTCTAAGGTAAACTCTATGGAGAATATAGATGATGGGAAAAAAATTGTTTTTTTCGCAACAGAAACAAGTTGATTTCCTTTCTCTCATATTCTTTTTGATTAACTGCCCCAAGTTGCATTTCTTTATAGCTTCTGTTGTCATGTAGAAGGAAGTGTAGGAGCATACTTCACTAATTGGCATTTATCTAGTGTTTGTATACAGTTATATAAATTAGGTTTTATGAGAACCCTGATCTTAATCCTGCCTATAATCACATTATGTACTCTGACAAGATCTAGTAGTTTTACTTAAACTGCCAGAATTTATTGAATGTCAATCCCTGTAACTAAACGTTTCCTCTTGTATTAATAAATGAATGCTTACTTCTACGAGGACACAGTATTGCCTGAAGCAACAGTTTTTTATTCATTTATTTTGTTTTACTGGCTTAGTAATGGAGTAATGACATTTAGACCCTTTGATATTATCCATAGATGTGAATAAAATTCTCTTCTGAATTAAAGAATTAGAATATAAATATTACATTCCTGCAGTGACTGTTAACTAGATTGTTCTGTCATAATGGGATTCTAAGATTGAAAAAGCTCTCAGAGCCAGCATCAGTGAGAAAGTGGGCAAAATGTGATGTTGATTTTCATTCTTTTAGTTATTCTGTGGGTGATGGGGATCTTAATTTTTTCTCCAAATTATGTATTTCCCCAATAAATTATGTCAGAATGAAAGAAAAATAGCTTCATTATATGTTCTTCAAAAACAAACTGACAAAAAAACACAAACCATAAAACCACCCAAACCATGTGTAAATTTAAGTGGACTTAACTCATAATGCATTCAACTATTGGTTTATCTTTAATAGTGAATTTTTTGGGGGGAGTCGAGAGATCATGGATTCCTGAGAAAATTATAAAAGTTAAAACCTCTGCTTTTATAGGGATTTTCAAAATAAGGAACTTATAGTCACTTATATACTCTTCAGTGATTTTTTTGTGAAAGGCGACATTCATGATATGAGTTAGAAAAGTCATAGTCTCTTTCTTGGGCAAAACATGTTAGAAAAACTTTTGTTGGTAGCATAGAATGAGCAGCTTGCTGGTAGTCTGTCCTACTTCTCTCTTTTTCACTGTGTGCTCACATTAGACTTCAGTAAATTGGGTCAGGGACATTGCAGGGAATGGCGGGGGTGCATGTAGGTGATAGAGGTTGGTAGTAGGAGAGCAGGAACATTTTCTGAAAATGCTACTGCCATTTAGGGTTTGAAACATAGGTATGATTTAGAGTTCAATTTAAACTAACTGATCTGCCGATACTGTTGGTGTCTAGTTAAACGGCTTGGTTAGAGCATTGTGGTAGAGCCAAGTCTTAGTTTTGATCCCATGTTAGTTCTGTTGTGTTACTCGAACTCGGATCATACCTGTCTGCAACCAGCCTTATTTTGCAGCAAAGACACCAGATGAGAAAGAGTTGCTGTGTCGGAACACATCCTTTACTTGTCTTGGAAAAGGGACTTTATTTATTCTGTGTGACAACAGTATCATCTTTGTATAGGAAAGCTAGCCTACTGCGAATGAATTACACTTTGATGCATGGCTGGGGGTATGTATGCATTTGCTGCTCATCAGAAGTATCCTTTAACCACTAGTTTGATTTCAGACTCCTGCCTTGAACTTGCTATGGGAGAAGTGTTGCAGTGATAATGTCGTGGTTCGAACAGCCTGCTGTGAGGGTCTGGTGGCACTCGTGGCTCAGGATCATGCAGAGTTCAGCTATGTTCTCAATGGGATACTCAACCTGATTCCATCGACCAGGTACTGTTTCCTTCATGTTTGATCAATTAACAATTTAAACTTCAAGAAAAAAATTCACTAATTTGCCAGTAAGGGTCAACATTCACTCTACTTGCCAGTTGTTTTTCTTTCCTTCACAATGTCCTGAGGTTGATATTTCATATGTGGTGAGAATGTGCTAACTTAAACTCTTAAGTTTTGGTATTTATGGTCATTTGCTGTACTTAAGTTTTGGGGCTCTACTTAAATTTGTCATTCTTTTTTATGAAGAAAATAGCTAAGTGGTTTAGAATTCACAATTGCAGTGCAAATTCCTGACTTATTTTAAGAAAGAAGGTTGCCTATAAGCAATACTGCTTCCACAGTGGTAAAGTTCATACACTATTGACAATACTTGTTTAGCCTTTGGCATTGGTACCTGTATTAGAAAATAATAGCACTAACCTCTTTAAAAGTATTTTGTGATTTAGACATGTCTTCCCCTGAGTATTCCAAGTAAATAATGTTTAGTGTTTTGAATTTGTTTGGTTTGACCATATTTCTTCCATTTACAGACCAAGGATAATGGTCTGTATGGGATAAACAGGGCATACAGCATTCTGAGGTGGTCAGCAGGACAGTGTTTGAACCATCCTATGGACAAGGGCCTCTCTTGTAAAATACTCCCTGAAAAAGAGATGCCACTCTTTGTTTCAAGAAATGGGCTTGATCTATACACCTTCAGTTTTGCCTTCTTTAAATCATTTGGACTTCTGTCCCCTTCACCCAACTCTTACCCAGCGTCCCCCAGCGTCTGGCCCTTTCTCAGTGGGGTTACTTGTTCTCCCAATATTTTTTACTCACCTTTAATGTGGTATCATCAGAACTGAATACTTATTCTTCTTTTCTTCAGTGGAGTACAGCTCTAACTATTAATCTGTAGAAGATGCCTTCCTGCGCAGGAAGTGTATTAGGTTAAATAACCTCTGGCCTCTTAACTTTTCTTCATGAATCTTATTTCACCTCTTTATATCTTTTTGGAACCTTGATTTTTTCTTTACATTCTCCCCTCTATAGTTATAAGTCCAAACCCTAGCATGATATACATGCCCTTTCCAAGCTAGCTCCAGCCTTTCATTCAACCTGCATTTCCTGCCATGAACCCTCCTCTCTAGCCATACACAACCATCCTCTATTCCTGAATGTTTGAGGCAGAGTGCTCTGCCTTTGCATGGAATGTTCCTTCCCCTTCTCTTTCTGACATCATCTTTTTCATCCTTCAAGACTCAGCTCAAATGTTACCTCTCCTGCCTAGACTCTTCCCTCTTCTCTGCTGAGCTAGTATTTTTGTCTCTAGCACACTCTTTGACAGAAAATGACCATATATTTCTGAATAAGTAAGGATTTGGTCATGGCTAAAAACATTCATTTTCTGTCTTTTTCTTTGTGTGCATGCCCACACATGTGTGTATACACACACATACACACATGCTTTTAGAAGGATCCTATTTTGTACTCATTTAAAAAGTAGTTTTGAAGAGGCTTTTAGTTTTAATGTGTCTTTCTTTTTGTAACTTATTGGTTGACCTTAAGCAAACCACCTAGATTTCGCCTTACCCCTTTTTTCAAATGCAGGTAATGGTCTTTGTTTCTCCCAAATAGCTTTCAAATGCCTTCAAATTCACAAACTTAAAATCTACTTGCATTGTGTAGTTGTACTATTTATATTTAAAAGCAAGAGTATCAGCAGCTAAGGGAGCCAGGGTAATGTCTCTGTCTACATAAGAGATCATTAGAGCAGGTTAGATTATACCTTTAATTCCAGAAGATCATGTTAGAAAATTATTCTGGTGTGGGATATTCTTCACATATCAGTATAAATTATCACTGTTATAAACTGAAAAGCATAAACTTTGCTGATGATGAGTCAGCATACCATCTGTATATGTTATAATTTGCCAGTAACCTTAGACTTTTTAAAATTAAAAAATGTAACTTTTGAACAGGCAAGACATTCACATGGTAAAAAATTCAAAAAGATATATGAGACAAAGGCTTTGTCTTACCCCCATTCTCACTTTTTGTCCTCAGAGGCAGAACTCTTACCAGATCTTATTATCTTTTTAAAGATGTTGTATGTACATGTAACTGAAAATTTAACTGTATATATTGTTCTTTAAAAAACAGAATTAGTAGCCTCCTATGCATAGTATTCTTTATTTTGCATTTTTACTGAAAAATATATCTTAGAGATCATTCCTTCACATTTATAAAGTCTTTCTAGTTTTTCCAGCTGCATAATATACTGTTATATAAATGTGCCATAATTTACCAATTCTCTATTGTTTTCAATATTTTTACAATTACTGGCAGTGCTTCAATGAGTAATATAATCTTACACATATAGGTGACCATTAGTTTTCAAAGGTCTTTGGAAATATGGCCAAGATATAAAAAAAAAAAGGCTTGAATTTTATAGTATGCAAATATAAGAATTTTAACAGTTGAAGAATTCTAGAAAGAAAAAAAGTTTCTTATCTGAGAATGTTCACGTTGTCTAAATCATTAGCTGCAGGAAGATGCTGACAGAGTAAACTCTGAAGCTAACCAATTTTTGAATCAGTTTGACCATGAAATGTGTAATGTAAGTGCTAAGTTTTCTGTATTGTTGCCAGTAGAGGTAATAACTATATGTGAAGAATGTTCTTCGTTTGGTTTATTTCAAGTAACAGAGTGGTTTGTAGTAATTACAAAGACTGCACATTGTTTATGTCTTTTAAAAAAGTAAAATGAGAATTAAATTTAAGAAATGAAACTAAATTTAATTAAAAACAGGAGACCTAAACAGGCTCTTCCTCCAAATGCTGCTCAGGGAATCTTCTGAGACAAAATTACCTTTATCTTTGGGATCTAAAAGCAGGCATGACTTTGACACTTGGCTGTGCTTCTTGGCTGAGACATTTTGTATCTTCACTTTCCAGTATTTAAGTTTCTACTCATCTCTGGAAGTCTCTTTTTAAAATTGAGCTTTATCAGAATGTAGAGGCACCTTGGGAACAGAGTCACACGATGATTGCTCAGCTTTGATGCAGAAAATAATTCTAATACCTTTTCATTTTGCCTACCAGCTTAGCATCTTTCAGGAACTAAGAGGGAGAGAAACAAGGAGAAAGAAGGAGAGGGAGAGGTAGAAGGATAGGGAGAGGGAGGAAGGGGGAGGGGCAGATGGAGGGGGACGGGGAGAGGGAAGGAGAAGGAGCAGAGGAGTAGAGAGAGGGAGGAGTGAGGGGGAAGGGAGAGAGAGGGAGAGGAAGAAGGAGAGAAGGAGAGAAGAGGGGAGAACTGAACGGGCGGGGAGGGAGAAATAGAAGTATCTTTCTGTAGAACAGATATTTAGAGAATATAGCAGTTTCTAGACCTTTCTCACATTGCAGTAAATGTTGAAAGCTGCAAGGAAAGATTGAAGGAAAAGTCGGCGAGGTCATATCTTCTAAATTTATAACCCGCTCCTTAGCCCTTTGCAAGTCCAGTCTATAAAATTCTCTTGGAACATTTATGGAAAGCCCTCTTACCCTAGCCCCACCCCAAATCTAACCCACACTGTATAGTCTAACTTTGAAAAAGACTTGACATTTGCAAAGCTCTGGTTGAGGGAGAGGCTGGGAAAGTGTCTGGCTCTGTTTGAGACACTGCTCCCTTCAAAAGAATAGTTTGATGTCCAAGAGTGTTCTCAGTTCAAAGCTGAGGCAACATGAAACAATTGTAAACTAGTTTTTATAGCTTCTGTAAACAAAGAAATGGATTTAAGAGGTCAAAAATGTTCTTTTAATCAGTAGGGAAATTTGGAAAAAAAAATTCCCTAGGGAGGGTGACGGAAAGAAGGGACCACAAAGGCAACACAGTAAGGAAATCATTATCACCAGTTAGATGTGAATTTTGAAATTAAACAAAACTAAAATTAAAGTGAATGATACATAGTACCATGTACTTTTCTTGTCCTTTAAGAAACTGCTTGTTTTAAGTTTAGATTGTTTTTGGTTTTGCTTGTTTGTTATTACATTGAGTTTATCCTGAGATAGAGATTCCCAAAGCAAGGAGTTTTCCCCATTTTTCTTTCCTTAGATTTCCTGCCCCCTTAACTGCGCTAGCTTCTAAAAAGCTCATGCAGCCATTGTTATAGTTGCTTAGTAACGAGACTGTGAATAAAAACCGTACTCTCCTGTGGAACCAGGTATTCAGTTTTCGATATTGAGATGTCATGACAGCCTGTAATTTCAGTCCAACTACTTCCCCAACGCCCACCCCCCCGCCACCTTCTTTTAAAACTGTGTTTGATAGAATGGTTATGCTCTAGATAAACTAGGGTACCACTTGATTTGTGTGCTTTTTGTGCTTTTAAACAGGGAAGAGAACTGCAATTTATGTATTTGGGGAAAATAAAGTGTATTAAGGTGTGAGAGAATAAAGTCTATTTTCTGAGATTCCTAAAAGCTTCTTTTTCTTGAAATTTTGCATAAGGTATTAAAAATGCCCATAGTGGATCCTGACTAGAGTTGTTGAATTCATTGAGTTTTTGATCATGGATCGATGAAAGTACAATTTGGTTAAAAAATGGCTCTGAGAACTATTTAGAATTAAGATTTAGGTAATTTAATGAGAAAAATTCTTGTCTCTTAGGGTCTTCTCTTGTGTTGATGATCCTGTTCTTTGGGAAACCTAACTCCTTTTTTATCGTGTAGGAAATAGCTAGCACTGAGGAGACACTGTATTTATATCTGGCATGTTTGAAGCTTTTCTGTATTTAGCCTCTTTCTCTTTATTTTATTTAATAGGAGAAGAAAACCCAAGGAAGGAGGCCTTTATGAAGTTTCTTCCAACATTTAAGGAATATAGTCTTATTTAGCATGCTTTCATCTGCTGCTGGGGTATCAGAGTATTTTTCATGAATTTGAGATGCTTTCAGTGTTTAAATCTAAATTGGTATCATTGCTCATTTAACTCTTATGTGAAAGTGAAGAATGACTAGACCTTGTCTGTTATCA